TGTATGTTTTGAAAATCTACTTTAAACTTCGTGTTAAAGTTTACCTTTGGTGGACATTTGGAATACCACATGTAACTCCATGACAAGGTTTATGTTAGTTTGCATGTTTATGTTAAAGTTAACCTTAGTGAACGTTTGAAACACCACGTGTAATCCGCGTTCTCAAAGATTACATTAATAATTGTTTTTGAGACATCTTCTTTGATGTCACGTGTTTTTCTTTTTATATAGAAAGGATGCGTTAAGCTATATGTGTGAATGGTGATTACCAAAATCACGAAACCAATAAATGTTGTATTATTTTACAGGTATACAGAGCTTGTATTCAGCTTCATTAACTATTGTTGATGAAGCAAGTGATCATTTTTACAAGTGTTATTTTTACATGTGTGTCCATATCTCTGTGATTATTTTTACTTAGTGACAGTTTCACTTCGGTAGCGCTTTATGTATTTAACCCTTTTCGAACAAGCAAAACACAAACATCATATAACGCTCCCGTGTTAGCACGCCGTTTATGTGTGACTAGGCTACCGAGAGTAACGAGTTTTCTGGGATATGCTTCTTAAACCTCGAAGCGACAGCTTCAGAAAGTGTGGTTTTATGTCTTTAAATCTCAGCGTAGTGGACGTTTTTGTTTGTGTAGTCCGTGATGTCACGTCCGGTCGTGCTCTATTTAACAATTGTGCATTTTGACAATAGCCATGTAGTGCAATTTCCTTTGGTAAAAGCTCCATCGTAATACTGTCATGTCTAAAGCACATCAATCTTCCCTGAGAGCTTTCCATAATCCTTTTAATGTACAATGATATCAGTTTCCCAGCACCCATTTCAACCGTCCAATCGCAAAGAAATCCAGAGGTGCTATTTCCAGTGATTTGACATTTGCATCTTCGTGTGGAATAATATGGATTCTCGTTTCATTCTAAGATGCTTGAAGTATGTCACGGTTGAAAAGAAGGTGTGATTGGAAGCCTTATTTTGGAAAACCCATACCTTATTAATACGCTTCGTTTCCGCATAAAGCCACTGATATTATACAAAGTTCAACCTGACCTTTGTAGTCATTCTCTTGATTCCTAACTTGCCCTTGGCGCAGTATCCAGCGATGATCATGAATCTCTTCTTAAAAGTTGCGTGACATGTCGTATACCACTTTTGAATTTTCTTCACCCATTGACCGGTAGAAAATGTTAAGAACCTTGTAACACTTATCAAAGTTTACATACGCTTTGTCGATTGCCACAGTGTACTGTCATTTTCTCTTGACTAGGTACTATTCATACAATTTTCTACAGTTGATCTTCCTTTCCTGGATATGTTTTGGAAGCAGTTTGTTAATTAGTTGCGTACTGTTGCTTGGAGCACACGGAGGGCTTTTGCCATTGACATTAATTTTCCTGGATTCTCACCTGTTACAAGATGCAGCACTTTGCTTAAAACGGTTGAGATAAGTCTTGTCACCGGTTTCTTTCTGGATGGTCATGGTGCTCCAAGTTGATCCATATTCTTTTGCCTTCCAATGTCATTAAATACAAGGGATATTCATGTCGTAGAAATTCTGAGTCCTTGCAATGAACTCATCTTTATGATATGAGAGTGTAAATATTTTGCTCCAGTAAAGACAGTTACATACCCTTCCCCAAAACTATCATTTTTCAGTGACATCACATTACCTATGAAACGCCGAACAATTTAAAAATTTTATTTTACATTCCTTTCCACCGCGATTGTGATTTGGAACATTACGTCTTTTTAATATAACGTATATGTGTGTGGGCATGTGTATGCATTATAAGGCTGCATGTCAAGCTACCCGACATTAAGGCAGTTACCGTTGGGAATTAACGACCTTTTTTTAAAGATTTAAAACTTCTGTTGTGTGTTGCTTCTGGCACTCCAAACTAATACTAATTAACAAAAGGCCATCATCTTTAACCCTAACTCCCATATAGATGTAAACATTAACTCTTTATCCTGGTTTCTCATTGCACGACAAGCTTGCCCCAAACTGATAGTGTTCTTCGCCCTACCTCTAGTATTGAAGGTTTACTGAAAACGAGCAGAAATTGCAAACAATCACGTGACAAGTGAGATGGAAATACTTGGTGTCAGATTTTGTAATTCTATAATCTTGTTACTAAAAAATCCAGTCGTAATTCATGTACGCTTTCGTAATCAATAGACGTAATCCAAATTCGTGATTTTAATCGATCGAGTATCTTTAGAACCTTATCCAAAATTATTCTGTAAAAGCCAGAAATCCAAAACGATGAAAGTTATTATTTCTATACCTATGTATACTACTTTCTCTCCAGTCCAAAAAAAAGTTTGTCTCAAGTTTTTTACACATTCTTGAACTTAGGAATAATTAATGTTATTGCACCATTAGCAACTATAGAACACACCACCTGGCGGACTTATGAAGAACTCTCCATATAAATAAAATACGACAGACATAGTACTGGTCAAGGCGTTACACACACACACACACACACACACACACATATATATACACAGTGAAAGGCAGTAAGGAGTTGTGACATTGTGGGTGTAAGCACTCAACTCCATACCCTTAATTGATTTTCCATGATTACTAACTAGTTTAACATCAGCATTTGGATTTTGTCTGGTAGATGGAATATTCCCAACGCATTTAGGAGTTATTACCACAGGCATTATCCGATATGACTTTAAGGTGACGTCTGGGATTTACAGTGGA